TGAGTTTTAAATGGAGAGATGGAAATCACTAAATCTTAAAAAAAAAAAAAAAAAAAAGACAAAGAAAAAAGGAATGCTCTGTGTCCCTAGTTTCTGAGGTGGCAACTGGCAGGGAATCATGGATCAGGTAATACAGTTTGTTGAGCCAAGTTAGCAGTTTGAAAAGGACTCAATTCAACAGGTTAAAAGATGCACCAAAATAGGCCAGATGCTGTGGCTCAAGCCTGTAATCCCAGCACTTTGGGAGGCTGAAACAAGAGTATTGTCTGAGCCCAGGGGTTCAAAACCAGCCTGGGCAACTTGGTGAGACCTCATCTCTACAATAAATTGAAAAATAAGCCGGATGTGGTAGTGCGCACCTGTAGTTCCAGCTACTTGGAAGGCTGAGTTGGAAGGATCACCTGAGCCTAGCAGGTGGAGGCTGCAATGACTGTGAGCGTGCCACTGCACTCTAGCCTGAGACTCCAATTCAAAAAAGAAAAAGAAAAATGCACCAAACCTGATAGAAAAGAATTCCAGAAGATTGCCATGGCAACAGCAATAGGATTTGCTATAATGAGATTCATTGACTTCTTTGTGAAATTGATCCATATCCTTATTAATAACAATTGTTAGGGGCTGAAAACTTTTGGGAAGAGTGTTTGCATCTTCGGTGGTGAACGAGTGAGAGCTAGAGAAGCTCATGGAGTAAAGTTTTCCTATGTTTGTTTTTCTTCCAAGATGTTTTCTATTTCTAAATTAAAATAATTTCAAAGAAGAAAAAAGGGAAACTCATGCTGTCTGCTTGGCTCACTACACACATTTTCTTTGGCCACTTTCCAGGTGGGCCAGAGCCAGATTTAAGATCCTTCCATGGGAACTTGAAATTTAGAGAAAGAACTATTCCAGTGCCACCTATGTTATAAATCAAAGATTCATTTATGTGTTGATGTGTTTTTTTAAATTCTTTTCCATTTATTTGGACTATTTGTGTATCACTGTATCAATACCACAATGTCTATTTTTTTTTTTTTTTTGAGTTGGAGTCTCACTCTGTCGCCCAGACTGGAGTGCAGTGGCCGCTCCGGCCACCACAGCCTCGACCTGCTGGGCTCCAGCAATCCTTCTGCCTCAGCCTTCCG